CTTCGGCGAACGATAAATCAAGAACGCATGCACCGTTTGGATTCATACTTTCCAGTATCACTCTTGTATGTCGGGGATAGGGCAGTATTGATTGAAATACGTCAGAATACTTTCATAGCAGTTACCTAGGGCACTGAAGGGATGGATATGCAGGAAAGTTGATCTGTATATAATACTGTGCTTGCCAAGCAATGTTCTTCCGAATGAACGCCTTCTCGAGTAAATATGTGTTGCATTGCAAGGACACGGTTCTTATTCATACAAGGCACCCCAGAAATATCTCCAAGACCTTCACCGATTTGGAAATTATTGTTTTAGACTAGTATCAGAAACAACTTGTAAATCACCAGGACAAACATCAGCCGAAGTAGAAAAACATACTAGGTGAGGTTTATGTTGATAGGATGAGGTTTATACTTATACCAGGGTGGGGTTTCTTCTATACTCGAACTTTTTCTGGTGAAATGCGCATGATGTTAGTATTTACTGTACAGGTGACGGTTCTCAATATCACGAGCGCTCGGAGTGAGCAGGAGCCAACAGCTCGCATTCACTTCCTTTGGGTACGGAATATACATGTCATTTTTCCGATGGACACATCACCATTTACTAGGTCCACCGAGGCATGAGTATCTTTGCAATGGAGATACATATCAGAATTATAACACAGTGACAGTTCTGGTGGTTGTTATCTGGCGCAGCCACGTCGCAAGTATCCTAGGTAGAACACGAGGTGTCGGGTGTCGATTCGGGGGAATGGTTGGTGGTCTGTGTCCGGATGTTATACGTGATTTGTTCTTTTCATAGCTTTCGTGTACGCGGGTTGTCTTGACCTCCCGTGATGTGTGAGTACGCTCCTCACCTCTCCTGTCTCCCGTATTTCTGTCCCTTCTGTTTCTCAGCCATCATATCAATGCATCTCGGGCTTTATCGCACATTGTTCTCTTTCATCCCGCCTCCAGAAGCTGACGTTACGCTGGTCCATGTTTAGCTAAAAAGTGTGACTATAGTGAGAGATACTACTAAAATGCAATCTGCGATGATCTAAGATCGGATAAATAACGAAGGAAGACAGAAAAGAGATCAGAGTGAGGGGAGCGACAAGAGTGATAGATACTGAGTGGGGCGTTGTGGAATACGACAGTGGAGGGAGGAAACTTCGAAGGATCAACTATTTGAGGAAGAAGACGAAGCAAACATACAGGAGCTGGAACCTGGGCTCAGGTGTGAGAGGAAGGGGAGTTCGATCCACGAACACAGAAAGGACAAACAAGGAGTGCGAATAAGGCGGCGTGACGAGTAACGATACCGTAATTTCTGGAAAGACAGATATGGAGCTGATAATGATGCAGCAACAAGAAACACGAAGCCAGAGAACAAGCCAAGGCCAAGGTCATACAGAGTTCAAGAGGGAGATGGAAGGGTAAAGGGAGAAAGCAAACTCGAGGTATTAAATCACAATCTTTGTTATATCGTACACCAAAGAAGGAAAAACTTTCTTCTTTCTTTTCATCTTCAATTTTGTTCACTATTGAACTCATCAGATCTCAACTTGAGAACACAACAAAATCACGTACGTACCACAACCCCAGCTCCAAAAAAATCAAGTTCACGACTTCTTATTCAGCGTCAAACTCCTCATACTCTGCTCCAACAACTCCTCTGCCGCCTTGAAACATTTCCTCTCCTGTTCCTGCGTCTGCTGAGGCTTAACCTCCTCAACATCCACAACTCTCACAACCGCCTTGCCCTCCAGTACCTTCCTAACCTTATCCGCGTCCCAGGGTCTCAACCCCGAACCCGAGCCCGAGCCAGACGAACACGCACTCGTACTCGGAGAACCAGCAAACGCATCCCAAAACGCGTTCCCAAGCTTGCTCAGGAGCGTCTGGCTCGCGATCGCCGCATACATCGCCGTCTCCTTTCTCTCTCTCTCTCTCCCCCTCTGCATTTCCCTCTCCCTCTCCCTCTCCCTCCTCTCCCTCTCGAGCTTTTCCACCACACTTCCCTTGCCCACGAGCAGAGGCGACGTCGGCGGCGACGAATACGGCGGCGGAGGTGGCGAATATGGTGGTGCAGGCGAATTCTGTATGTGTTTCCCTGACAACAACGACGTGAGCGGGGACGTTGCCGTCCCGGGCGAAGTGAAGAATGCCGGGCGCAGTAAGGACGCGAGATTCCCGAGTTGTTGGTTTGCATGAGCTTGTTGCTGTAGGAGATGTTGTTGTTGATGGAGAAGATGATGTTGATGCTGCGTATACTGCTGCTGTGCCGCCATTTTGCCCCAAAGATGCATTCTGTACGCGTCGAGTGTCTTCATCGTGAAGGGGTTGACATCCGAGAATCCCTCGAAGCTCATAGGAGGCTGCATCTTCTCCCGTTCCTTCTCCTTCTCCTTCTCTTTTTCTGATTTGCTCTCCTCCCCGACAAACCCATTGAGCAGAGGATTGACGTTCTCCTTCCACTTATCATCTTTGGCAACAAACGGACTAGGACCAAATTGGCTCGCCAGCAAATCTGCTACGGACATTTCAGGAAGGACAACGCGATGAACAGGCGTAACGCCCCCCATGCCCATACCGAGCCTGACACCACCCCAGAATCGTCCATTCTTGGTAGTGTCTTTCTGCGTATTGGGCGTAAGCAAGGGTGAGGACTGTGATTGCTGTTGTGCTTGAGCTTGCGCCTGAGCTTGAAGTGTCGCGGCAGCACTCTGCGCGGGAAGAGGAGCAGGCGGAGGAAGGTTAAGTAGAGGATACTCCGTAGTGCCGTCGGCGGCAGTAGTCGGTACACGTCCCTCAAGAAGTGTTCGTTTGAGCGCAGCTATCTCTTGCCGCAAAGCCAGGTTCTCGGATTGAGTTGAACCGAGTTCGGAACGGATGGCCTCGAGGAGTCGATCGCGCTCTGCAATGTCGCCTTCTAGGGTTGAAATGTATTCTTATTGATCGAAGCGAATTTAAATATCACGATCAATGAATAGAAGCAATTACATACCCTTTCGGCGAACGCGGAAGTTGCGCGCGCTTATCTTGTTGCGAAGTTGTCTCTTTTCCTTGCTAGTCATTTTCGCGAGAACCTCTGGAGAAGGCCTCCAGTCCTGCGGAAGGTCGTCATCTTCATCATCCTTCTCATTCTTCTTCTTGTCCTGAGACTGGAGGTTGTACATATTTGTAGGCTGGAAGGCACTTGGGGGTGTATAAGCTGGAGGGGTGACAAATGAACTGGCAGTGGTTAGGGTGTAAGTATTTTCCTTTCCAAGCGAGGCGGTAACAGGATTGGAAGTGGGTGTCTTTTTAACGATGCCTCCTGATTGGACAGTGCCCTTACGCGCCTTGCCGTGTCCGCCTGCCTTGACAGGCTGGATAACAAGTGTCAACTTTTCCCTCTCCTCATCAGTCTCAACCTCTTTCTCTTTGCGCTTCGCAGACCGCAGCTTGGAAGCTGTTGTTGTCATGGCCCGTGGCGAGCCCGAGGACGAAGGTGAGGCCGACACGTCGCCGTCGTGCTCCTCATCCTCCACCTGCTGAAGCTCTTCGTTCTCCTCGCCAATGTCACTGAGCGCAGAGGGTGTGCCAACGAGTTGAGGATCTATACCCATCACCTCGCCGACGATACCGGTGCTGATGTCTGGCATGTCCGTCGTCATCTCCATGCCCAGCCCATCATCGATGCCCATATCGGCGCCTTGAAAAGCGCTGAAAAGGTCGTAGGCATTAGGAATGTTCATCACGGAGTCAAGCTGCTTTGTCTGGAGGTCGTCATCGAAGCCAAAGATAGAAGAGGGGTTGTATTCAGGAAAGGCATGTGGCGGGGCAAGCTGCGGGGGTGTTTGAATTGACGCCAGGTAGGGCGAGGAGCCGCGAGACGAGGAAGCAGTGGCAGGGGAGTTGATGTTGTTGGCAGTGCTGAGGGTGCTGTTGCCGAAGTCGTCGGCGAAGGCGTCGGCGTTGAAGATATCGCTGATGTCTGGGAGGGAAGCATGGAAGGAGAAGGACGGGTGCTGGAGAGGATTATCGACTTGCATGGCGGTAGGTGGAAAAGATTGGCCACAACCTACCAACCAGGAGTAAAACAAAGACGTTGGGTTATGTAATCTCCGCCGCGCTTGCGTGTGGGCGGCATCCTCTATTACTATCAGCATTCCATTGTCTTCTAACATGTTCTACCTTCGCATATGTCCAATATTGAAATATTGACTGTTCAACGTTCACCATTCACGAATACTCCTTGACCCGCTCTTTCTCATGCTCTGAGACGTCTAGGACTCTGTATTGCTTTGGCTCTCAAGGTTCGGACCAACTCGGTTCCACCATCTTCTTTGACTCATTTCTACCTGACCGGTCCACGCCTCCGAGCCCTTTCCTCCTTATCTCCACGCCTCTTGCACCCTGAAAAACACGCCTTTCCTCTCTACAGCAATACTCTCTCCCCGACGCGTGACTTGAATGCTTAAGGCTACTTACATAGCAAGATCCGTCAAAATCTGCTTCACGTCAGCGCATAGGCATCGCCTTGCTAATTCGGCCATTATATCAGTGTGCTCGTGTCGGCAGTATTTTCTCAGCCTGATTTTGTCAAGTTCTCTGATTCTCAACAACGATGACGAGGCGTGGCCATGCGACAAAGGCGTGTCTCTCGAGTCTCACAGGAGTACAAGATAAAATATATTATTCCTTTCATGTATATGTATTTATGTATACCTAAGTACCTCCCGCTGTATCCCAGATCGTGTGATTCAATTCCACGACGCACGCCCAAGGTTGCATCATATGGCGATAATCACACGAACACCACTGAATCGTTTTAAGTTGTCCCAGTGCATTCCACGAAGTATCTACGGCCTTCATTGGGTATGGTGTATGGCCTCATATCCAGGGCGGATTCAATCAATCTATGCGGCTCAGGGTTTGATCACCAGTATCCAGCAGAAGCATTCTTGAGATATGTCGGTGTCGGATCATATTGACCTACATGTATACAAAATGGAAAACTTTTCGTTGTCGGGTATGGTGTAACGGCTAACATTGCCGCCTCTCACTATATCTTCGTGCGCGGCAGCTCGGGGTTCGATTCCCCGTACCCGAAAAATGAATTTGCTTTTTCTTTTTATCTCTGAAAGAGTGTGTACGAACTATGGTCGTGTTATCACCACACTCGTCAGTGAAATTAGCACACCGCAGGAAGAACCAGGATTTCCAGGAGTTGACCACTCGGTCGGATATCACTCAATCCCATCAAATTCTCAACGTGCCTTTTGTCAGCTCAAACAGGCCGATCAACCCCTCCATTACTAAGATAAGCGGACATTCATACATAGCATTCAGTCAACGTCAAGAGGTCATCAGTTGATCAGCAGTATAAACTTATACACTTCAATATGGTACCTGTACATACTTGAGTTTCAATCTTTCACTTCTGTTGAAAATGGAGCTCCTTGCACTTCAAGGCTTAGATGCATGGGAAGCAACAACTTTATTAGCTGCCAGTGCAAATGTCCTATCATCATCTTATTTGAATTCTGAATCAGCAACTACTGCTTAGGACATTATATTTGCAGAATTTACAATACTTGAGTGATGCCTGGATCTCCAATGGATCATCCAAATCAGGTTCCAACAACAGCCCATACACAAGACTCAAGATCTGTCACGACCCGCTCCCTAGCTCCCTAGACACTGCTCCCAACCCCTCCTGATTTCCCGCCTAACTCCCCGGAACCCCGCCCACACTTTTGACGCTCACACCGGACAACTCCAACGCTTCTCCGGCAAATCCTGACGGCAACTCCCTCTCCGTAGCCATTGACACCCCCTTGAAACCTTCCCCCACCATTCCTGGCCACGTCATACGTCCCCGACCCTCTACCCTAGTTTACCCGACCCGTCCCGGAGTGTCACGACGTCCCCGGAGCGGCCGCCCCCCCAACTGATCCCATCAGAATACCGCTGCGGCCCGACCTTGGATTGTACCCGACACCCGTCGACTCAGCACAGCTCCGTTGACCCCCACCATCATATCCGCCGCCCTCGGAGGCACCCAGTAGTTGGTATATAAGCCATAGAATAACTCCTCGAACTTTAGTCTTGATATTACATTTTACCGGTTTCCTATGTTTCGTCTCTTGTCTTGTCTCTATTTCTGTTTCTAGGCTTCGAATCTATCTTTTCTCAGTCTCGTCTCATCTCCGTCTCGTCTCAACTGTACATATTTCCTTTGTTCCTCTGAAGTTCCCTTGCTCCCTATGTCAGTACAAACTCCGCGCACGCGCCACGACCTGAACATTCTTAACGACAACTCCGGACCTCGCTACCTGCTTGGCCCCGGAACCCACCAAGCCCCGGTAATCCCCTGTCCAACTCCGACCCCGCCCCCCATCAACCGAGAAGCCTCCGCCTACCCCAGAAATCTACTTGTGCGCCCACTAACTAGCCCTGACACCCGCCCTGGGTCAATGACCAGTACCTCCGGTCTTAGACCCCTCTGAATCACTCAGGACTTACTTGGGCCGCTCTCCCTAGGGGCCCCTTGCAAGCTTTCCCCACCTCCGCTCTAACTCCAGACGCCTGGTTATAAGCGCAGGACATCGCGTCCGCCTAGTAAGGACTCGCTAGTGTACTGAGCCCCCGTCGTCAGCGGAACCTGACATAATATCAAGACTCCCCCTTACCCCGTTCTCGATGTCTGCGTTTAACCCCACGTACAACCCAGTCAGTTACCCAACTGACGCCTACGGCCGGCCCATACTGGAAAATTCCTACGCCCCATTTTACCCGGGTCCCTTTGCGGACCAATACATGCCCCGTCACTGGACCCCTGACCCCAACCAGGCATTCTACGCCCCCTCCATCAGCCAGGGAATACTCCCGGGCTGGCGCCGCCCTCTCGCATTCCACGCCGATGGCAACAACCCCCGTATCAACCCCGGAGGATACTCCGCAGCACCCCCCAACCCCGCCTACCTTCCCCCCGCCCATTACTATGCGTACCCAATCCCTGCTGCAGCCCCAGTCCCTCCGGAGGCCATGGATAACTATTCCCCACCCCGCCCACCATTCGCCATTCAAACCCCTCCTTCTCCTAGGCAGCAAAGAATTGAAGCCTACGCCCAGCAACGTGATGAAGTCCTCCGCTTCCTCTGCCTGTCCCCTGCGGAATTTGCAAGGCATACCCGCACCCTCCTCACCAACCTAGGCTACCCCGACGCCTCCGCAACCCCGGAGGTCTGGGCGGATCGACTCCTCGACTTCCACGAACGCTACCTATAAGGGAACCTCCCGGAGAATACGCAAAGCACTCTGGGCCTCGACGACAACTTACGGAACAAGCTCCGCACCTTGGTCGAAGAAATCCACACTAGCCTGAACCCCCGCCCCTTTGAAGATCCTCTGGATCCCGCCTGCTCCTTCCACGTGCAACGCAAGGAACCCATTGGGACATGAAACGAAGCCCCATCTTCCGTTCCCCGCCAGCAGGAAGAACTCAACGCGGCCTCCAGCATCTTGAGGAATCTCAACCCTGCGGGGGGGTTGTTTGACCAACCCGCTGCCCACACCCTGGCCCTCTCCGCCCGGCCCTGGGCCAGCTCGGTGCCCAGCGCCTTCCGAACCTGGGACCAACCCGCCGTCCCCGAACTCCGCTCCCAACAACCGCCCCTACGCATCGACGACAACAACTGGACCCTCTCCTATATCGACGAGCCGGGCAACCCCGCCGACGAACACCCCCCGTGCAACGGGCCCCAACGAGACCGACCCCCCCACTTCGACCTCCGCGCCCCTCGTAGCAATGCCCCTCCGCCCCGTCCCAATGCCCCAGTTCCCCCGCGACAGCCCCTGGGCCCCGGGGCGCCCCGACCCCCTCTTTCCGTCAACCCCTCTCGTCCCCCGCCCGCCCCGATGCCTAACTCCCCCACCGACGTCAACTATTTCGGACCCCCGAATCCCGGAGGACCCCCTCCCCCTCAATGGGCCCCAGGACCCGCCCCAGGTAGTGTAGGTCAAAACCCCGGTAGGGGACCACCCAATGGCGGACCCCTGGGAGGATGGGGCCCGGCGATGGACAGCTTTCCCCCCCAGCGCGGAAACGGAAATAACTACTACTACTACTACAATGCTGGACCCCCACCTCGAACTCAAAATTCGCAGGACAATACCCGCGACGCACTGGCCCAGGAAGGAAAGCTCGACATCCAGAAGTCCGAACCCTTCACCGGCTGCGACCCCTGGAAGTGGCGAATCTTCCTGACCCAGTGTTTAACTATGTTTCAAGCTAAGCCCATCACTTTTCAGCTTGAGAGCTCACGAGTGGCTTTCGCTGCATCATACTTACAGGGCATCACCTTCGACCACTACACTGCGCTACTCCGGTTCGACCCAAACAATCCCGTACTCTCCCATTGGCTCGCTTTCACTCAAGAGTTCTCGAGTAAGTTTGGCGTCTTTGACACCGTAGCAGAGGCAGAGGAAAATCTCTTCAACCTCCGAATGCACAACAACGAACGCTTCACGACCTTCATCGTACGATTCGAACGAGAGGCCTACGAGACCGGCTGGAATTACAACGCCCTCCGGTTCGCCCTCCGTTGTGCCCTGCCCCAACGGATCAAGGATGTCCTTCGCCTCGCGCCCAAACAAACCACCTACAACGGGTACAAGGCGCTCATTACCCAGGTCGACCAATGTTATTGGGAAGATCGCAGCGAAAACACGGCGCCCTGGACCTCGTGGAATACCTCCGGTAACACCAACTGGCAGGCCGGAGCAACCAATGGCATCCGATCCTCCATCTCCGCTAACCCTGCTAACCCTGCACCCCGCTTCCCCCCGGGCCGAGGAGTCCCCAACACTAACCGGCCCCCGGGGCAGCGACCACCCACCCAGCTCAACGCCGCCGACCTCCACGACACCCCAGTACCCCTGGATACCAACCCCGACGATCGCGACAACATCCCGGACCCCACCAACGATCAGGAGGCCCTATGCGCAAACAGGATCCAGGACAGTCAGTGGATCGACGTGCCGGAAGAAACACAGGAGAAACGACGGAAGGAGGGTGCGTGCATCCTATGTGGTGAGCAGGGACATTTTATTCGCAGTTGCCCTAAACGACAGGTGATGGGACGCGCCATGTGGACGATTGACGGAGAAGACTGCAACTACCAGTTCACGGAAAACGAGTCGGCGATTTAGGTCTGGAAGACACACTAGACTGCGGACCACATCCCGATGTCTTCTCCGCCCCAGCCACACTCCTCCGCGCAATGATGCTCGCCCCGGACAACCCCCCAGCACACCTCCCCTCTCAATCCTCCACAAACCTCCTCCGCACCACTCTTCCCTTCACCAACAAACCCGTCCCCACACTAGTCGACAGCGGCGCCACCGATAACTTTATTGATGAATCCCTGGCAGCGCTCGCCCCACAACTCCTCCGCCGTCTTCCCGCCCTGATCCCCCTCAAACTCTTTGACAGAGACTCTACCCCAACGGGAGACATCACTCATTGCCTAGAAACGACCCTGACCTTCGCCGACGGACAACAGCAAGAACTCCGACTACTCGTCACAAAATTACACCCCTCTGCCCCCATCGTCTTAGGGTTCTCATGGCTCTGCTCCACCAATCCCCGTGTCGATTGGCCCAGTCTCACCCTACGCCTCAACCGGGACAACCCCACCAACTCTGGACTGGTACCCTTCCATGTCTCACCCCCCTCCGAGAGCTCCGAGACCACGATCAACCCACCCCGGACCCCGCCGCAACTTCACTCTAGGTCTGCGCGATCGTTTGTCATCTATGTCCGACTTGGCGGCTCGCTCAAGGTACTTCCCGCCCTTGTAGACAGCGGCGCCTCCGGTGTCTTCGTCAGCAACCAACTTGACCTCTGACGCAACGACCTCGACAAACTCCTCGAGCTCCAACTCTTCGATGGGAGCCCCGCCACAACAAGAATTACGCAGTACCACGACAACACCCTCACCCTCGATAACAACCTGCAGTTCCAGGCCCGACTCCTTGTTACCCAACTACCCCCGTCGACCCCAATCGTGCTCGGACTCCCGTGGCTGCAAGACGTCAATCCCGACA